GAAGACAGTAAATCATCAGCTGGACCAGTAAGTGAAGCCAGAGAAGTTTCCACCCGGTGCTGGAAACGAACATTGCTGTCTCCTTCCTACTTCAGAAGGGATTGTGTCAAGAAATATTTTCATAATTTTTTGAATCAAGTTTTTTCTAAAGCTAATTCCCCTTTCTTGTGAAAGCAGGTCTGGGTGAGGCCCAGGCTCCGTCTCTGCAGGGCGGGAGGCCTGGGGCCTGTTGGCCAAAACATCTCAGAAGAGTCTCTGGGCCTCGAAAGAGTCAATAAAATCCCCGCGGCAGGGAAAGCCGCCCCACCCCTTCCTGCCATGGCACGGGGCTCTCGCTGGGACACTTCCCCTCACTGACCCAGGCAGCCCACAGAGGACGCAGGGGAATTCCAGGGGCCTTCCAGATTGAGCAAGGAATAGACACCACCCACATGGCAGCAGCAAAATGCCCCCTCCATGGCCTTCTGAGCCCTCGCTTAGGAAAACCCGCCCTTTGTGCCCCTTCCCTGCCCCTGCGGGACCAGAGGGAGGAGCCATGGAGAGGCCTGGAGTAGCCCCTGTCCATGCCCCGCCTGTCCAAGCCCCCGGCCAGCTCTGGGAGGGGCCAGAGCCCATGACTGCAGTTCGAGAAATGAAGAGAACTGAGTCTTGAAGGTCAAGCACGCAGTCTGGAATGACCCTGGAGTGGAAGCTCAAGGAGCCAACGCGCAGGGGCCCTGGGGAGGTGACAACACCGTTAAGACTAATTGTAATAGAGTAAAAATCAAAATCAACAAGCAGCTACATACCACAGACACACTACGGGGTTGGGGGGGCGGAGAAGGGAGTAGGATCAAAACAAGGGGGGTGGGAATTGTCCGGGGACTCTAACCAAGATGAAAATGCACGCATTGTGCAAAAATGAAAAATGATGTAAAAAATATATACAAGAAAAGAAAAGAAAAAAATAAACTGTCCAACTGCACTGATTAAAAAAAAAAAGCAGTGGCTCGAAGAAACTAGAAGCACTTCCTGCTTGTACTCTGGTTTTACTCTTTCCAAAAATGCAAATAAATAGGCTCAGACTGTTGCCCGCCCCAGGTCAAGGTCTTGGGGTCATCCGTGACGGAATTGTGCAAACAGACGAACAACGGCTGGTTTTTCTAAATAAACAGAAGCCGGGGAGCGGGGCCTGGCATCTGCTCTCCTGCAGAAGAGAAAACAGAGATTCAGAAACCTCCAAGGGCCTGCGGGTGGGAGCGGAGCAGGACAGGCCGGGACGGAGGAGAGGGATGGGAGGCCGAGGGGTCAGAGGGGGGACATCTGTTCATAGAGACTCAGGAACTTGAGGGAAAGAGACGCGGCCGGCGCCGGCAGCAAGAGAGCGAGCGCTGCGTGCAGTGACCATGGAGAAAGGAAGAGGAAAAAGGCTGAACGGACATGTATTGACCAGACCTTTCTGTCCGAGGACCGGGCGGGACTGAACAGCTTCTCAGGCTGGGGAAGGAAGGGCCGCGTCCTGCTTGGGCCTGCGCGTGCTGCTCCTCGCTGGGGTTCTCGCCCCAGACTCCACGCCCAGAAAACAGCTAACCCCAGAGACAGAACTCGAGGCGGCTTGGCCAGCACCGCCATCTCCCCGCCCGGCCCCGACTCAGGCCCTGTGCCCCCTGCTGCTGCCCACCATGACCGGCACCCCCACCTCTGCTCCGTGAACCCGCCGTTCCTGATCCCGCAGGCCTGGGGGGTGGGGTGGGCCACATCTCCACCCCAAGCTCTCCAGGAGCCAGAGAAACTCCCGCGAGCTGCAGGACACGGTGGCAAGATGCTTCTGCCAGACAGGACAGCAGAGGGAAACCAGCCTCTCCCAGTCGCGAAAACACGCGTTTGCTTCTTGAGTGACTACTCATTGACGTCGCCCAGGAGTCTGGGGGCAAAGCAGCCCAGTTGCCCCCCTACCAAGGAAATGAGGGTGTGGGTCCGGAGCCCTGCTGGCCTCCCAGCCAGCCGCTCAGACTCCCCGCTCTTGGGCACCCAGGACCGTCTTCTCTCTGCAGAGAACCTGGCCCTGCCCCCAAAGCCTCCTAACTAAGGGGCAGGCGCTAGTCATCACCCCTCGGCCGCTCTCTCCCTCCTTGCCCCGGGGCTGCCCAGGAGCGGGCGTGGTCCGCTGAGGGAGGGCGGCTCCTGCGAAGCCCACGCTGGGGCACAGAGCCATCTGCCCCAAGAGGAAATAAAAGGGTGGGGTCTTGGGGCAGAGAGGAGGGTCCTGCTGGGGGAGAGGGCACCCACGAGGAATAGAGAACCCCGACACCCAAGGACAGTGGAACAGGAAAGCTGTGGGAGATGTAAACAGTCCCTGCTGTCACAGCTCCTCCTCTGCCTCAATGCAGAGGTGGTTCAGGAGAAAGTGGGCCTCTCGCAGGCGCACCAGAGTCTGCTCCTCCTGCCTCATCGGCATCTGAGTTCACGGAAGAGGTGGCGCTGGAAATGCTGTAAGCTGGTGCTAGGCCTCATGCCAGAGAGGTTGTGCTGGAAACACCGTGAGCTGGTGCTAGACCTCGTGCCAGAGAGGTTGTGCCGGGAACATCCGTGAAGAGAGAGAGAGATGCCTCCAAGGAGAACAAAAGGCTGGGAGGATTCTCTGAATGTCTACGGGCCAGCCTGAGTGGAGAGGCGCGAGGGGGGACTCATTGCCCTGTGTGACAGTGGCCTGAGGAGTCACGGGACGTGGGGGGAAGAGCAGGGTGTGAGGAGTCCCAACGACAGCCTCAGAGCGCCCCTCCCCCTGGGTTTCTTCTCCTTTGTCTCCGCCCTGTTAATATTCCTGCCCCCCTGCTCCTTCCATGGCTTAAAAATCACAAAACAACAAAATCGAGGCACCCGCTGTCTTTGTCACGGGCTGCGCACACCGCGCAGGCCCCGCCGCGTGCCATGTGTTGGAAGCCGCGCGCCAGCAGGGCCTGGTCCAGGACAGCCCGGCACGGGAGCCGGTCAGCGGCACGGTCCGTGGTGCCCGTAGGCGCCACAAACCCCAAGCGTGACCGGGGACGGCTGCTCTGCACAGCGGGGACGGGAGAGCGTGTCAGCGGAGCCCCCGAGCCCTGCCCACAGGGCGGGGAGGAGCGCCAGGGACACCCACTCACAATGTGGGGCCTATCCAGGGAGGACTGGAATCTTTTCTAATCGGCCATAGACCTCCTCACCGTCTGCTGAGGGACACACCCTCCCGCTGCGGGCTGGATGGACACCACCCGCAAGACAGTCGGGGAGCAGGGCAGTTGGGGAGCAGTGCAGTCGGGGAGGAGGGCGGTTGGGGAGCACAGCAGGGAAGTCAGGGACCAGGGCAATTGAGGAGCAGGACAGTCGGGGACCAGGACATTCAGGGACCAGGGTAGTCGGGGAACAGGGCATTTGGGGACCAGGGCAATTGGGGAGCAGGACAGTCGGGGAACAGGGCATTTGGGGACCAAGGCAGTCGGGGAGCAGGGCAACTGGGGACCAAGAAAGTCAGGGAGCTGGATAGTAGGGAGCAGAGCAGTCAGGGAACAGAGCAGTCGGGGAGCAGGGCAGCCGGGGAGCAGAGCAGCCGGGGAGCTGGATGGTTGGAGAGAAGAGCATTTGGGGCCAGGGCAGTCGGGGACCAGGGCAGTCAGGGAGCTAGATAGTCAGGGAGCAGGGCAGTCGGGGAACAGAGCAGCCAGGGAGCTGGATAGTCAGGGAGCAGGGCAGTAGGGGAGCAGGGCAGTTGGGGAGCTGGATAGTTGGGGAGCAGGGCAGCCAGGGACCAGGGCAGTCAGCCCCTCCCTGCAAGACACACAGACACACGCAGGACCAAGGAGAGGCACCGTGTCATTTCTCAGTGAGCTCATCTTGCTGGCGCCCGCGGGGGTGGTTTATCAGCCTCTGGGCTAATGGGTGTCCTTACACACTCCCCACCTTGCCCTTCTGGGCTCGTGGCCAGGCCGAGCTTTTGCATCCGCCTGTTCTTCAGAGAACTAGGCCCAGTCACCCCTGGGAACGTAGGGTTCTGGGCACAAGCTTTCCCAGCCAAAGGCTTATGGGCTGGGACGTGGGCTTGAAGGCCCAGGTGGCTTGGGAGGCTAACGAGAATGCGGTCCCTCCAGCGCGCAGAGTGCAGCTCCACATCTATTATTCATGCGTTAAGCTGCTGGGTGCGATATGCCATCCCCGACAGAGGAGAATAAAATCAGATTCCCTTTCCCTCCCACTCAGGCCAACCACTGGCCCAGCCCCGGCTGCGGGAGGAAGGCCAGATGCCTCGCTGGGCCTGCGGCCTCTGCACCCCTGCCCCTGCCCCAGCCACTGGGGCTGCTGCGCCTCACCTGCTCCTGGACACCCCTCAGGGCCCAAGTGTCTCCCCTGAATATGCCCCTACAGCTTCTCAGGCTTAAGATATCTGCTACCTCCCTGCCTGCCTCCCTCCCTCCTGCGACCATCCCAAAAATGGCATCTGCAGAGGCTTCTGGGCCCCCTTACACCCAGCCCTGCCCCTCCCTCCTCATGGACCCCAACCCCGCAGCTCATTCTCCATTACCACTCCTCAGCTGGGCCCTCTGGACTCAGCACACAAACTGAGCTGTCCCGGCAGACTGGATCCTGGGAAACAGGCGTCAAGGGGGGCGTGGAGCTCAGGCCGCACCTGCCGGGCCAGCCGCACCTACTGGGCCGGCAGCACTGCGTGGCTGGTCTCAGCGCTGACCTGCCCTCCCACCAGCTGATGAATTCACAGATCTCTAAGGGTGCAGCCATGAGGGCCCTGGGGAAGGCACGCAGGCCCCTCATTTCGGCAGCTCCCACCCGCTCAGCACAGCTTGGTGAGGGGCGCCGTGCAGTGGACAGAGGGGTGCTCTGAGCCGGGGTGCTTGGCTGTGCAGACCAGATCCTCCCAGTAACAAAACCGACCTCACGGACCTGGGTAAAGTCACTTGGAAACGCAGAACATCAGAAGAAGCCAGAACCACCCGGCTCTCAGCCCTGCAGACCAAGGCCTGTGCGCCTGTCTCCAGGAAGCTCAAGGGTGCATGCTTGTCTTACGTATTCATATGTGCACAGGGACAGCTTTAAATTGATGGCATCATTTGCAATTAATTGAAGAATAATAAGTGTGGTGGGGGGGTGGAAGCATCCTGTCCCTCACTTGCTTCACACAATCTGAAATCCCACAGGTGGGAGCTGTAGATGCTTAGAGGCCAACTCAGCAGGTCAAAGGCACCTGCCCCCTGAACCACAAATGGGGTGTTGCCACCTGGGCTGCAGAGCAGGAGGCGGTTGCATCTGGCTTCTTGGGCCCTCGTCTCCCCGGATGATCAGTCAGGTCCCTTCTAACCCCACTCCCGCAAACACAAAGGTCCAGCCCTTGTGCGTGAAGAAAGGGTCCGCGCCCTTCTCTGCAAGGTTGTTCTCATGATTGTTTCTCTTTATTCAGCAGGGGATGCAACCGTAGCTGTTCACTGCGTTCAAGGACCTGGAGTGAGGACGGTGGGCGGTGGGTGAGGGGGCTGCATGGTGGCCGGAGGGACGGCCAGGGGAGAGAGCCGCGGGAGGCGCTGGAAGGCAGCACGGTCCTTCCCACAGGCCCTGGCGGCACTGGCGGGGACATGAGGGCCCAGCGGGGTCTTCCCTGGGCTCTGCCCGGCGTGCAGGGAGGCAGGTGGGCGGGTCTCTGCCCCTTCACAGAACCAAGGGGACCTTCTCCTTGCAGGGGGAGGGAGGCACTGAGTTCTCTGCAAGCAGCTTCTTCTCTGTCTCTTCCTCGTCCTGGAAAAAACAGAGGATCAGTTATTAGAGGGAAAAGGTGGGGGCAAAGCCAGCTGTCTAGAACCTGAATTCAGGAAAGAGCGGACAGGATGGGGCCCGGGACAAAAGTCCTGGCCAGAAGGAGAGGGTGGTGGTGAGTAGGGAGCACGGGAGGGGGTAAGCGGCAGAGAATGGGTCCCCTTCCCCAGACTTGGAAGGAAAGGGCCAGCAAGTGCTGGAGGATTCCTGCCAGCAGAACTGTGGGGTCCCAGGAGCTCTGACAGCAGGGGCCCGCCTACTCCCCCCAGGCCCACCACCCCCAGCACCCCCCGGCCACTCACCAGGGGCAGAGGCCTCTGGCCACACACACTTCGAAAGCGCACGCCCAGGGAAGCCAAGGAGACGATGCCCTGCAGGAGCGAGACAACCAGCAGCAGGGCGCGGATGCCCAGGAACAGGTTCTGGGCGCGTGGAAGGAAAGCAGATGGTCAGGATCCGCGGCCGGGGTGCTGCTCACCCCCTCCCAGCTCGGCCAGACTGTCCAGCTGCCTGCCCCACAAAGCAGGCTGCCTGCACCAGCTCTGAGGGGGGTCACAGCGTCCCCCATTGTCTTGCGTGCAGGGAGACCTCACCTCTATGGAGAGCTGGGACCTATTTCTCCACCCCTGGCCAGGACCCGTGAAGGCCATTTCCAGGAAAATTCTTGGTGACGCCAAGGTCAAGGGAGCCTTTCCCAGGCCCTGCAGCTTCCTGAAATGCTCACAAGTGGGCTACACCCCTGGGGGACCCAGCTGGCCAGGTCGGAGAAGCCTGAGCCACGTGGAGAAGCCACACAGGCTCTGGCAGAGAGCCCCCCACCCCCAGCTGCAGTCCCCGCAGCGCCAGCCGTGTCGCAAACTGTCCTGGACGTCCAGCCCCGTCCAGCCTTCGGATGACGTCACCCCACTGACGTCTGACTAGGCTCGCTGAGAAAACCCAAGTGTGATCTGCCCTCTGAGCCCCCCACCCACAGAGGTGTCAGGAGCCCTAATAAATGGTGGCTTTAAGCCACGGCCTCCAGGACACCCCCAGATCCACTCTGAAACGTCTCCTCCTTGCTCCATCCTCTTTGATTAACGGATCTCTGAGCCATGAAGAAAGCCTCCCTCCCTGAAGCCGTGAAGAAACCTCCCCCCCAAGCAAAGACCTCGGGCCCCGCCCTGTGCCCGCCTGGCCCCACCTGGCCCCGCGGCCCGGCCGGCCCTCACCAGCAGCATCTGCATGTAGTCCCGGCACTGCTCCTCGCGCCAGCCCCAGCCCTGGAGGCCACACAGGGAGTCCATGAAGCCGTCGCTTTGCCAGGTGAAGCTCATGGCACAGAGGACGGCAGCAGCCAAGGCCGTGGCCACGGCCGCCATGGTGAGCAGGTCTGACGCGCAGCCCTGCGGGGGGACAGGCTCAGAGGCCGCTCTGAGAAAACCCAGGTGAGACCCCCTCTGAGCCCACACCCCCAGGATGGGCCGCTCTCCGACCCGCCCCCCACCCTGTGCTGGCCCCGGAAACCCTCCCCAGCCGCCAGGAAAGAGCTCACAGCATCAAGACCCAACAGCAAGACGGCAGAGGGAAAAGCGGAGCTGCGGAGGGCCCCGGGGAAGGCTGGGCAGGAGGCCGGACTCACGGTGCACTTGCGCCCCCGCTTCTCATGGACGATGGTCCCAGCTCCTGCTGCGAACGCCTGCGAGACAGACCCCAAGAGACCCCAGCTACTCTCCTGCAGGACGGCCCGACACCGCACCCACAGGCCCTGCACCGTCAGCTCAAGGGGGCCCCAGCGACAGACCACCTTGCCGGTGGACATGCCAGCGTGGCCGCCCACCTTTCCCAGCCTGGCCCTTTGTGGGGAGCACAGGGGGTGTGGGGTCCTGCCACCCCCTAAGGCAGCTTCCTGAAGGCAAAGGGCCTTTGGCCTCCAGGTCCTCAAACTCCTGACCCCAGCTGCGAGGAACCTCCCCTTGCCCGTCCCCACGCCCCCCTCAGCCCCGCCGGTCCTTACCACCGCCCCTGCCCAGAAGGCACAGCCCGTGGCGCGCAGCTGGATCCAGGGCCCGATGTAGAGGAAGCCCCCCAGGATGCAGCTCACCGCGCCCAGCAGCACCTGCGTCACCTGCAAGATGGAGGAAAAGTCAGATCCAGCTCTGAGCCCGGGGCCCCCAGCAGCCGCCCCACTCCCACCAAGTGGCGTTTTTCTTCCCCTTCATCTCTGATTCCGGAAGTTTCTCTCCCCTTTACACCCACGAAGCAGCAGGCCCTGGCTCCCGCCGTGCCCCGAGGTGGCTCACATCTGTCCTTCGTCACTTATTACACTTGGTCGTGCGCCTGCTGACCCCGCCTCCCCCTCGCTCACCCCAGGACGCGCCACAGAAGAGTGTGGTGGGTGACGGTCCCCAGAGGCCAGCCGTTCACGGTCCACTCACCTTTCAGGCCGAGAGCACACTTTTGGGGGGCATGGTGGTAGCACAGGGCTAGTTCCACATCCCATGCACCCCACAACGGGCACCTTAGCTGGACCGACAGCCCTTGGCAGCCAGCATCTGTCTGACAGGCCCCCAGCCAATCCTGCACCTCCTTTCCTTCTCAGAGTGTCCCCAATAAACTTCTGACACCCCGAACCCCGAGTCAGCACTGGCCTTCTGGAGAGCAAGACTGTCCCAGCCCCTCTGGCATCACAGCCTGCCTGTGCCGCCCACCTCAGATCATCACACCCGAGCTGCATACCCTGCACCCCGAGTCCACTCACCCCTGCGTCCTGGAGCCCCATCCAGAGGGTCTGGACTCCTCTGCTCAGCACCCCCGAGACCCCTCCCCCAGACCCACCGGGCTCTGAGGCAGCCTCCCGGGGCTGGGAGGCCAGGCCCAGCCCAGGATCCGCCTCCTGCCGGAGCTGACTCCAGCCTGGCCACTCGGGGCTCCCGGCCCCGGGGCCCGTCCAATCCCACCAGCCTGGGCCACGCTCCCTGCGCTGACCACTGGCCCTTGCTTCCCGCTTCTTTGCTGCCTCCCCCAGCCTCTCATCCTGCCGTCTTGTACTCCCTTTCACCTCATCTGTGTAAAGCCACCCCCTCCCCACCCCAGATGCAGAAGCTGTCACCTGCAGGACGCTGCGGGTCTGCCTGGGCCTCGATGTAGTGGCCCGGTCCCTCCGAAGGATGCCCAGGACTTTTAGGTTACGCCCCTGGGGTTTTCTCTGTGGTTTCCCCAAAAGTGCCTGTCACAGGCCCTGCAGACCCTCAGTACCCCCAACCTCCAGGGGACCTGCCACCCACCCCCTCCTCTGACCGGAACCCCTCCTTCCCCAAAGACGAGGCCCATGGCTGCTCCCCATCCTGGGGATGCGCTCCCCAAACCTTCTTTCAAAAACAAGTAGGGCTGTAAGTCGGGAGTCCTGAGGATTCCACCCACTACCCCTTTTTTGCCTCCGAGGGAAGGCGCGTCCCCACCGGCTATGTGCCCTCTGCTGCCCACTCTTACCCCCAGGGCCAGCTGCCTGGAGCGGATGCCGGCCTTGGAAGGGCCGCTGTCCGTGGGCCGAGAGAAGTACTCCTTCAGGGAGCTCCCCGCCTTCAGCAGCTGAGCCAGGGCCGACTCCTGGTGGATGTGGATGTTGATGTGGGTCGGCTGGGACAGCGTCGAGGTCACCTCCACCCCGTTCACGGTCACCGTGTTCTGCTCCATCCCGCCTGCTGGAGCGAGAGTGCACAGAGGTGAGGCCGGCAGGGCGGGCAGGGTGAAAGCACAGACACTGCAGGGCTGAGGGAGAGAGAGCAGTCTCCCCAGCACGCTGCTCAGGGCTGCCCGCACCGGCATCACGTGACTCGCCTGGGCTGGAATCCCGACCCCCTCGAGCATCTCCCTCCATATATCCCCTCAGGCTCCGCCCAGGAGGGCCTGACACCATCTGGACTCACATTGGACCAAGAAGGAGTCTGTTTTCAAATGCTCCCCAGAGCAAAAATGGAATTCTGGGAATTAGACGGCCCCTCCCCCGTGCTGCAGGTGGTTCTAGGGAGCCCCACCCGCCCCGCAGGTGTGAGAGGCTAGTCTAGACCCCAACATCTCCTCACTTCACCACCCCTTCGGTTATTTTTTTGCCTTCTCTCTGGCTGTAGCTGGACTACGTCTCCAGGGCACTTCAGCACCCCTGGCCTCGCACCAAAACAATCCCCTCCATGCGGTCCCTGTGGGTGGTGTCCCTGGAAGACCCTGAGGGAGCAGAGTCATCGTCCCAGTGCCTGTGTGCTCCCCGAGCTCTCGTGCTTCCTGCCTGGCCTCCTCTGAGGTGAGAAGGACAGACGTGCGTCCGGCATGGTGCTGAGCAGCGGCTTGCTCACTGCCACACACAAGCCCAGCTCCAGGCCATCTCCACCCCCTGCACCCAGATCAGAGCCGATGAAGACTCCGACTCCAGGCTCGGGGCCCATCCCGCTGGCCTGGACGCTGTCCCCTGCCCAGCTGCGCCCACTGTCCCTGGAGCTACAGATGGAGAATCCCCACCGCCCTGGCCCTGGGCCTCAGGCCAGGTCTGCTCGCACATCCTCCCTCCTGAGCCAGCCCTTGGGAATCAAGCAAGAGGGACGGGAGCCTGGAGGGCCAGTCCTGAGGAGGGAGAGCGCGCGAGCCTGTGCTGACCCCCTGGGAGGCACCACCTGGCCCGGCCCTGCTCACCTGCTGTCCCAGGGAGCCAGCGGCCAGGAGCGCAGGTCTGGGTCTGGGAGGAGCAGACCTGGAGCTGAGGACGCCCCCAGCTCCGGCTCTGGCAGTGGGAGGGAGCAGGGCAGAGGGGAGGGATGGAGGGAAGAGGCCCTGACCTGCAGTGTCAAAACTTCCCAGAAAATAGATGGAGCCAAGGGGCCCCATGTGGGGGGTTTGGTTTTGAGATGACCGAGGTGGTCAGGGAAGGCACAGGGCACACGGGCATCCACATGCACACTCACGCCCTGGCACACACTCTGCACACTCATGCCCTGGCACATACCCCGCACACTCACACCCTGGCACATACCCTGCACACTCACCTGCGCCCTGGCACACCCAGCAGAGGTGTGCTCAGAAACCAGGGGCCGGTGAGCAGGGGCGAGGGCAGCCTCAGGGTGTCCGGGGCTGGTCAGCGCAGTCCCCAGGCCGCCCGCCTCACCTCACGCCTGCCGTCTGGCAGGCCGCAGCCAGAGAGCCGCTGCCGCTGCCGCTGGAAAGCCCCTGCAGAGGCCCCTTGGCCTGTGGCCTGCTGTCTGCCGGGAAGCCTGCTGGAGCCAGACACTCCCCTTCCATCACTTCCTCCCTGCCTCCCCGCCAGCTCTGCTGCCCTCCTCCAGCCCAGCCCTCCCGGCCCTCCTGCCCTGCCCAGCCTGGCCAAGGAGAGCAGGGGAGACAAGCACTACCCAGAGCCCAGCACGGCACCACCCGAGCGGCCTCCTCACAGGTGTCTGCGTTTCTGCCTCTGCACTTGGGGGACCAGCGAGGCAGCGGGTCGGTGGGGGGGTCCCCTAGCACCACACAGACCTTGTTCTCTGGGAAGGTGGCGGCCAAGAAGCGGGTGCGTCCCTGCGTGATGCCCAGGGGCCTCCCCAGACCTCCACCTCCACCCAGCCCACCGGGGGGCGGGGGGCAGCTGGGCTGGGCAGTTCAGGGCGGGTGGTGGAGAGGACAGTATTTAGGGGCCGCGAGGTGTCTTGGGGTGCAGCAAGGGACTGTGGCCACTACAGAAGCTCAACGGGCAGTGCGTCGTGGGGGTGGGTCCTGGGGGGTGAGAGCCAGGGTGGGGTCTGGCCGCCCCATGGGCTGGAAGTGGGGTGTGTGGAGCGGTGGAGGTCGCAGGAGGAGCATGGGGTCAGCAGATCTGGGGGACGCCCCGAGAGCTGGCCGGGCAGCTGCTCTGTGACCAGGCGCCCAACCTGAGAGGCTCTGCCCGCATCGCCCCCGCCACTCCCCTCCTCAGGCCATGGCTTCAGACGCGGGCCCCACCGCAGGTGGCGAGGCAGCCCCCGTGGCCCCCCAGCCCACCCACATCGACGTGCACCTGCACCAGGAGTCGGGGGTGAAGCTCCTGCTGAGCAAGTGCTCCCTGCTGAGCCCCGGAGCCCCGGGCGCCCCCCGCCGCTCCCCGGCTGGCCGGCTGCTGGTGGCCTCATGGGTGAGTAGCCTCTGGGGCCCTGATGTCGGGGGGCGGGGCGGGGTCACCCTTCTCCTGCTCTCTGCACAGGACACTGAGCCAGATTTCTCTGCTTACGAGAAATCAAGCTCTCCCACCCCGTCCTGCCCCCTTCCTCACTTTCTCGGTCCCCAGTAACAGCCAGGAGGCAAGGCTGCGCAGAAGGGCTGCGGGGCGCAGGGGGCCATCTCCAGCTGGTGGAGACTGAGGCCCCCTCCACAGCCCCCATGTGGCTGGCTCTCCCCACCCCCGGCCCCTGCTCTCCCCTCCGGGGCCCCCTCCTCCCTGAGGCCCCCCCATTCCTGTCCCCCTCTAGTGTTCCTAGTCCCCCTCCCCTGCTGCTCCTCTCCTCCCCTCACCCTCCTCCCCTTCTCTCTCTCTCCTCCCTTCCCCTCCCCAAGCTCAGGACGCCCCCAGTGACCTCAAGGCCGGCAGGTCCTCTCGCCCCCTCCACCCGCTGCCCCTGGGCCCAGGATGGCGCCAACTCTGGAATCCTTCATCTTCCAGGTGGTGCAGATCGTGCTGGGGATCCTGAGCGGGGTCCTGGGGGGGCTCCTCTACCTCGGCCACTACTCCTCAGTGCGTGACTCGGGAGCTGCCATCTGGACAGGAGCCGTGGTGAGTGGGTCCCCCAAGGGGGCGGGTGGCCCCGGCTCCGTGACAGAGCATCCGCCAGCGAGCCGGAGTGGTGCGTTCGCGTTGGAAGGAGCCGGCCTCCTGCCCCGGGCTGACCTGCTTCTGCTCCCCCCAGGCCGTGCTGGCTGGAGCTGTCGCCTTCATTTATGAGAAACGGGGTGGCATCTGTTGGGTGAGTTTGGGGCAGGGCATCTGTTGGGTGAGTTGGGGGCAGGGCAGCGGTGGACCCCAGGCCCGGAAGCTGGAGGCCACCCCAAAGCCCCAGCACATCTCTGATCCCAGGCTGGGCTCCAGGAGAGTCTGAGCCCCAAGCTCCCTCCGCCCCTCTCCCCGCCAGGCCCTCCTGAGGACCCTGCTCGCCCTGGCGGCCTTCACCACGGCCATCACCGCCATTGCCATCGGCTCTGCGAATTTCCGAGACTACGTCTACTTCTACAGAGGGGACTTCTGCTACAGGGACTCCTGGAGGGGCTGGCCCACCGAGAGCCCCAGCACAGACAGCCCGGCGGAGGAGGAAAGGATGCAGCTGTGTCGCTACTACGTGGCCATGGGGAAGGTAGGGGCAGGCCGGGCCGGCCAGCTCGGTGCCAGGAGCCAGGCCATCCTCCCCAAACAGAGTTTGACCAGAGGAAACAGCTGGCGAGACACTGCAAAAATATTACTTTGACCCCGAAATCTATGCTGGTTGTTTGGGGCAGAGACTGGAGGGAGGTGTGGTGATGGGCCACTGGCACTGGGGTTTTGGGGGTGGACTGGTGTCCCCCCAATAAACAAACCAGAGGCACTGCCTGCAGTGGGTGTACAGACGGGGAGACACCAGCACTGAAAGGATGAGATGAGGCAGCATCACGGGGTGTACAGCTGAGAGGGGTAGAGTCCCCTCAACTTCTCAAGTGTGGCGGTTGTTGGGGAACCCAGCCCAGGCCCCACCCCTCCAGACGAGAGCGCTTTCTGCTGCACTCTGCACCTGGGCCTTGCCCGCCCCCATCAGGACTCCTTCCTCTGCCCTCTCCAGAAGCTAGAGGTGGGGTGATGAGTGGGAGGGACGCCCACGGGTGAAGGGCGTGGGACAGAGCACACTCAGCAAGTCACGCCGCCCCCTGCAGCTTTGGTCCCTTGTCCCAGGCCTTCTTCATAAGCCTCGAGTCCATGCTCTTGGGGGTGTGGGTTCTGCTGCTCCTGGCATCTCTGACGCCCCTGTATCTGCACTTCCAGAAGAGACGCTGCTCCATAAAGGTGAGGCCTTCACGCACATGTGCACATGTGTGGGGGGTGGGGTCGTCCAGGGGAGACAGGAATGGAAAGCTGGTGGTTTGGGGAGGAGAAAAGGACCGTTACAGTGAGTCCCAGGGGGTATGGCCCCTAGTCACAGCCCAGCCTAAAGCGCTCCTGTCTCTGACTGAGTGGCCTCTAGGCCAGACCCCAGAAGGCAGGGGAGTCCGCATCTATGGTGAGACTTTGGGGCTCTTGGCATCAGGTGCTGTAAGGATAATGTTGGGCCAGGTTGGCTCCAGAATTAAGCTGCTCTGGAGAAGAGAATTTCTTCTCCCCATTGGGGCTGTCTCTGTTCTCCCTCTCCCTTAGGAGAAAGACCAGAAGAAACTGGTAGGAGAGAGTGGAATCTAGCCTGCCTGTCCTGCAGGCCTGGCACGCCCTCTGCGCTGGGTGTCCCTGCATCTGGCACCTGGAAGAAGAGATGCTCCAATAGTGCCCACCCCACGGCCACAGCCATGGCCCAGCCCGCCCCCCCACCCTGGCACAGCAGCCGTGCCCACTTCTTGCTCACTGTCACCACCTGCTTGGGCTTCACGCCCCCTCTTGAGCGCCGATGATAATAAACTCACGTGTCATGGCTGGTCTTCCTGCTCAGTTATTCCAGGGCCGTCTCTTGGCTGGGGCAGCAGCCATGGGCCAATTCGGGCCTAAGATGCTGCCCCTGTGGCTTCCAATCTCCATCTGGGCCGGGAGTTGCTCATCTTTGATTCTTTGGCCTGGGACTGTCGTTCCAGACACCAGGGTTGGAAGAATAATGACGGCTAACACTCGGAGCCCGCTTCCTATAACTTAGATTTAAGAGGACAGATATTTTGACAATTGAATTGTTTTTTGGTTTGTCTATTTAATAGATAACATAATTCTAAGATGCAATCATCCTTTGAAAAGCAAGGTCTCTAACAATATACTGAAATAGAAACCCTGAGTAATTGTCTCATGAATAAAACACCTAAAACTTGTGAAGGTATGAAGCTGTACTCCCAAAATTGGTAAAATGTGAATCGTATTTTTTAATTCATGAGTAAACTGTCAAGAAAATGAGGGAAACCCTCAAATTAGGAGTAGGAATTCAGAGAGCTGAATCTTGGAAGGAGTATCTGGCTGTTGAGTCATCCCATGGCCACCCGGTGGTCACTGGCTCCACCGACCGGCCCACAGGACCCAGCATATCATTGGGCTGGCCGCTAAGTTTCATTACAGCAAAGGGGTATGTAGCAGAATCCACACATATCAGGTGGACTCTGGAGGAATCCGTGCCAACTTCCTGTTCTCCCACGAGGAAGGGCCACATGGTAACTGGTAACATGAGTGCAGTGTTTGGGGCCTGGGAAGTCCATTTAAGACTCAGAGCCCAGGGTTTTCAGGGGGGCTGGTCACGTGGGTGCCCCGTCTGCCTGAAGAATGGCAGCAAATCCAGAAGAAAAGCCGGCATCCACCCACGTTGTTTGCACAAACAGTCCAGGCAAGCTGATGCGGTGGAACTCATACTCCATGCGGATGAAACAAGCTTATCTGAGCAGGAATATTTCAAAAGCCTAACTCCAAGGAGACAGCCAAGGGCCTTGGAAAGGGCAGCAGACCTCTCCTGACTTACCCGCTGCTCCCCTCAGCAGTGTATTTCAGTCAGTCTGCCTGTTCTGTTCCCCACTCTGTCTCTGGTGAATCCTCTCACCCCCAACCTCTGGCCTGTACCCCAGCTCTTGTATGCATAAATAAATAAATCTTTTTTAAAAAAGGGCTATGAGAAACAATAAATGAACATAGCAAAGTGGCAGTTTACAAAACCAGCATTCAAAAATCCGCAGCATTTTTATATGCAAACAAGGAACAAGAAGCAAAAGAACTCTATTTATTACTGCTCCAAAAAGAATTAAATACCTCAGAATCAACCTAACAAAGAGGTAAAATACCTATACTATGAGAACTATAAGACGTCATGTTTTAAATGACTTAGATAGCGGCAGAGGAGATGGGAGATATCCCATGCTCATGGATAGAGAGAATCAATATAGTCAAAATGACTCTCCTGCCTAAAATAATAAACAAATTTAATGCAACGCCATCAAAACACCAGCAACATATTTCAAAGAAACTGAACAAAATATTAAAATTTATATGGAATCATGAAAGATCTGAAATTGCAAAAGCAACCCTAAAAAAAGGCTTTTAGCTCTATTTCAAATACACAATCATTCTTGAATATTACTTTATCAACAGAAGGTAGAGTTGGTGTGACATCTGATTTTCTGCAGAAGAGGAAAATGAAATCCAGAACTCTCTGAGGCTGTTGGGAAGGAGATAGGGCTGCAAAGAGTGACAGACACGGAGGAGGGGCTGCAGGAGGATGTGGAGGAGGGCTGTTTTCTCAAAGAAGCAGACCAGCCAGCTGCAACAAACAGAGGAGGTTGCCAGATTCTGATGCAAAAGACCACTTCTGAGCCCAAGGACAAACCAAGTTGACATTCATTTATCTGGATGACGAATGGAAAGAATTTTATATCCAGTCAGGCCATAAAAGGACTGATTTAGAGACACTGTGTAGAAGAGCAATTGATACCATCTTTAGCTTAAGGAAGAAACTAATTCACCAGAGTCGTTATTTACCCTGAAAATGACAATATGTTTTTAAATTTAATGCTTAACAAGCTCAAAGATAGAATTAAAACAAGACTGAATTTAAATTCAAATTCCGAGTTCCATGTCTCAATCCAGATGTGATTAGCCCTGCCACCTAGTGGTTACAAAAAAGTCTTCAAGAAAAAACAGAAAACAAATTTGTGCGTGTGCATTTTCACTTATTGGAATACAAGCCTCAATGATATTAAGCAAAGAATTTCTTAGATAATAAAAATGAACACTGGAACACCAGAAGCAGTGCAACAGTGTTTACTCCGAGAGAACTGTTCCAACAATCGCAAGTTTAACTTTAGTTTATGGTGGGAGGAACAGAGAGTCACTGACGTCAAAAATGTGATTATTCCCGACACAGGGGCTTCTGGCCTCAGTTGTTGTGAACTAAATATGAGAGATGCTCTGAAGCTGGGTGAGCAGAGAAGGTGGTGCTGGGTTATTCCCTTCCTTTCTGAAGAAAGCCCCGAGGAGGCACAGAGACCGGCCCCCGTGTTGCACCTCCTTGATCCTGCGCCTTGGTCCTTGGTGGGGGTTGGAAAGATGTTTCACAACCCGGCAGTAGATTTTACAAAGCTGTTTCAGACTTTGAGTCTACACCAACATCTTTACCCTCGGGTCGGCGAGAGTAGGGAGGGGCTCCCAGAACACTCTAGAGGCATTTCTTGGAAAATTATTAATTGACTGACATCTACCAACACCTCCCTGTGGTGAAGACTGTGGGTCCTGGCAATGGACCTGTGAACAGTGGCTGCCCCTGCCCGGCCTAGCCTGGGTGACAACAGGGAGTACAGGCCAAGGCTGCGTGTCGCCTCCCACCTCCGACAGGCGTCCACCTCACACAACCGGTGACAATCGTGCCAAGGGGCCAGCAGAATAGAGGGTGGGGCGGCGGGTGTCCCCACTGTTCTGGTCTCAGCCAGTTTTTCTCCCTGTGCCACCTCGTCTGTGCTGGGACACTCTTCAGGAAGCAGGTGCCCCAGTCCTGAGCGGGCAGCCCCTGTGGCAGCCCACAGAGAGGTCGGGTGGTCCTGCCCCAGCTGGGCCTGGTGGACACAGGGCTGCCCACCCAGGGCAAACACCCTCCACACACACTGGAGGGCGAGAACCGTCTCTGGGAACCGTCCGTCCTTGGAAACACGGACTCTATATTGGCAGAGCCCGGACAGAGTGGTGGCTGAGCACCCAGGGGCATCTGCCCGGTCCTCCGTGAGGACAGTGTGACCCCAAAGCATTCACCTGGCGACCCCCACCCACCTCCCGGCACCACCATCACCTTCCACACAGAAGACATGAAGGATTTATTAAACAGGACACACTGCATACATTGAGCAAAATATGCAAGACACCAAAAAATATGCCTTCAGCGAGATTCTATTTATATAAAATCCAAAACAGGCAAAATAATACCTACCCTTTCGGGGTGCGTGCAGAGATGGCAAAACGCTCGCCTGGAGAAAAGCCAAAAAATGATTTGCACAAGAGCGTTTCTGGGTCACTTGTGGAGCAAGGGACAAAAGGGGGTGGCTGGAGGGGGCTGGGGTGCTTGGGGGGCAGTGTCCTGTTTGCGATGTGGTGTAGAAATCCGCTTTATAACCGTTCATGCAGCTGAGTTCACACGTTAATGTCCACGTGTATCTATGTCATATCTTAGCATGCATGAGAATAATAAAGCAGTTCTATCGAGCTCAAAGATCTTCAGACAAACCTTCGGGACACGCGTGTCGGGGTTGGGGGGTTCACAGCCTGACGTGAACATTCGGGGCGACATGGCCCAGATCTACGAGACAGCCAAGCAGCCGCCTCCTTTAAGTAATAAAGTCCCTGTCTGAGACGAGAAGGGGGCGCGGGCGTCCCACGGCTGGGACAAACCTGGGGAGGCAGTAAGCCGAGCCGGGCCCCCAGGAAGGCAGAGGGAAGAATCGCCCCGCAGGTGCCGCCCCGATCCCCAGGGCGGCTCCAGCCCCGGCCACTGCAGGCCCGGGACGCCAGGGGGCGCTGTCCGCAGCCTCGGCGCCGGGAGGCGGGCCTAGAGCGCAGGCCCCACCCGCTCCTCGTATCCAGTGGACAGCCCGCCTGCCGCTCACAGCCTGACAGCCAATGAGGAGGAGCTGAGGCTACTGCCCCGGCGCGGGGCGGGAGGGGCGCCGCGGGGATCCCGGGCTGCGAAAGGGGAGCCAGGCCCCGGGCCCCGTCGGAGCCGAGGCTGGGTCAGGGCGGCTGACGGGCTGAGCAATGGCTCTTCGGCGGCGCGGAACGTGGTCCCAGGGGGCACCCCACCCCGTGCCCCCCCCCGCCTTGGCGCCCCGCACCCCACTGCGGCAGGACGTCCAAGGGCTTCCCTGGGAGCCCAGCCCCCCACTTCCTGGAGCACCTGGGGTCCGGTCGGAGAAGGGCCAGACACCCCTGTTCAGCCCAGAGGTGCAGTCACCTGCGCCCCACCTCCGTGGCACCCCGCGGCGACCAGGAGCCGCGTCCCCAGGTGGATCGACTCCCCGCAATCGGAGGCCCCGTCCTCAGCTCCCCAGCTGCCCCCCCTGCCCGCCCAGATGGCAGCCCAAGTCAGGACCGGCTCAGGGTGTCAGTCCCGCGCATGGTTCCCCTTCCCTCTTCGGAATAGCGTGTGGGTGTCCAGCTGATCACCCCCGTCCCCAGGGAAGGTGGGCACCACATTGCTTAGGGACCCCAAATCTCAGATTCCTCTTGCCCAGGACGCAGGCCTGAGCGGGGAGTTGAATTTGGGTGCTCAGAACAGAGACTGAGAAAACCAGTCTGGTTCCACCCTTGACACTTGTCTGCGGGCTTCTTCCTATAGAACAGGTACCAGACCAGAGGACAAAGAGACGGGGGCTGGAGGCGACTGTTGGGGCGCAAGCAACAGAGCCTGGTCTGCTTTCTACTCAGCACTGGGGAGCCCAGTGAGCAGCATGGAGGACAGCCAGGAATCATGCCTCTCAGCCTGGTGACTCTGCCCTCGGGCTGGTGACTCTGCTGTGCCAGGAGCAGCCAAAGGTCCGGACCTCTGCACCTGCCACAAAGGCTTCTCTGGTTGAGAAGGAAGGGGGGCGGAGTGCCTTTGCAGTCAGCCTTCAGGCCTCCTCAGAGCCCTGTGGGGGCTGGGCCACCTGCAGGGAACCTGGCCAGGAGTGACACCCAGGGATTGGCTTCCTTCAGACAACCGCAGCTGGGATGGCAGTGTTCTTCCAAGGTCACGACCTTGTCAGCTGCTTTGTCCCACAGTGTCCTCGGTAACCACCCGTCCCTTTGCCCTTTCATGTCCAGGGGTAAAAATGGTGTCCAGTGACTTGTGGCCTCGGTGCTTCCCACCCCCACCCTGCCTCACCTTTGTAAACGCGCCTCACTCCCCCTTGGAAACACGGAGAAGGCCCTGACTGACGTGCTGGGTTTCCTTTTTTTCAGCTTCACTCTGCTTTCACCCTGGAATCACCTTCATTCACTAAGCAAGCATAGCACCTGCAAGGCGCCAGGTGAGCGCTGGGATGCGGAGACGGGAGACAAAGGTCGCATCAGTCATCACACGAGAGGACTGTACTGGAGGTCAGCGCCAGGCGGGCACAGCCCGGGAAGGTCCAGGCACATCACAGCCAAAGGCCACAGGCCACAGGGCAGACGTGGGGAAAGGGATGAAGTGGTCCCGAAAGGGGGGTAGCATGCAGACGTGAGGGCGGGCGCTGGGCATTGTGGGAGCCCGGGCGTCAGGCCACACTGCTGACAGGAGCCAGCCCATGGGGGCTCAGGAGGTCTTGGCCTGTCCCCATTGCGAAAAGGCCATTTGGGGATGACAAATTGGTGGGGGTACGTGATGGAGCCAGGAGGCCAGCGAAAGTCCACTGCAGGAGTTAGGCTGACTCAGGACAATGGCAGGAAGGGGGGGCTGGATGCAGCAGGTCATGCAAACAGGTAGATGCCGCCGGGCGAAGCTGTGAGGATGCAGCCCCTTCGGGAGGCCTGGCTGGAGCATCTGGGTGGACAGAGGCGGCATTCCTAGGACGAAGAGCAGGGGGGCAGGGGGCAGGTATTCTGCTTGGAGTTTTTTGGGTTCCAGACACCTGTGGGTGAGCGAGTGAAGGTCGCTGGAGCTCGGGTTGGTCTACACCGAGGACAGGCCCCAACAGTCCTAAAGACACAGAGGAGTGACTGGACTGAGTGTCCTCCCCCGGGCCATCTGTCCAGGAGTAGATCATTGAACT